GAATCAATGCTGAAGAATCTGAGGAAGGTGCATCCCGTTTCCACACTGGTTAAGGTATGCCTGGAAGAAATGTGCATTTATCATATTCCTGGTCACTGGTGAGGTTGGGTGTAAAGTAACTTCAGAATGAGGCAGGTGATGGAGAGTTTGATGCAGGAAGTATTGGGAGAACACAGGAGTGAGGGAACCACCCTGTGCTCCTAGGAAAGTTGCAGAGCATATGAAACTCTGGGCATGTATGGGAATTTGGGAGGCACTGTCAGAGTCTAGAGACCCTGACATGTTTACAGCCAAAGCTCTTCCATTACCATCCACAAAGGTACCTCAGCCCCGGAGGGGTGGGGGTGCAGGGCAGGAAGATGGGAAGAGTTCCCTGCGTGTTTCATCTTCCAGGAGTGGCCTCTGCACAGCTCTGCTTGGTGCTATAGTCTACTGCTCATTTTTATTGATGCTGTCCTGCACAGTGGCAAGGGAATCAAACAATGATGTGACCTTGTATTTTAGGGCTTATATGGGATCAAGGAAGAAATCTTTCTCAGTGTTCCTTGTATCTTGGGACGAAACGGCATCATGGACATTGTGAAAGTGAACCTGAACTCCGAGGACGAAGCCCTTCTCAGGAAGAGTGCAGAAACACTGTGGAACGTCCAGAAGGACCTGGAAATATGAAGTCTCAACATTCCACACTTTTACAGATGTGTGATTGCATATTTCACACATCAAGTGTTTTCGTATAATAAAAAGTTAAACAAAATATTGGAGACCTATGACATAACGGCAGTCTCTTGAGGTCAGAAAGATAAGTGCTGAAAACATTTCTTCCTCCCCTTTCTTTTGAGACAGGGTTTCACTATAGAGCCTGGCTGGTCTGGAACTCTAGACCTGGCTGGCCTCAGAGATCTTGTAGCCTTGAAGTGCTGGGATTAAAGGCATGCACCACCATGCCCAGCTGAAATGTCTGCCTGTTCTGAATTCTGTGTCCGTGTAGCGATGAGGTCCGTACAGGGTGGAATTCCATTTCTGAGGAACCAGTGAGTGAAGAGCTCTCAATTTCCACAGAGCCCATGTGACAGACCACTCATAACAACACAGAACTGAAGTTCTCACAACACTGAAATGTCACAGTGTGCTCTCTTCCATTGCATCACATTGCTTCATTAGTTCCCATGTCTGTGTGTATTTTTTACTATTTCATTTCCAGGACTCTCCAGTTTGGTTGGTATGGTTCATTTGTCTTGACAATGTAGTATTCCCTCTAGCCTCTATCAGTGTACAGGATTCTTAGATCCTTGGGAGTCAGTCTTTTTACCTTACATTTACCCTTATTGGCAAAGGGCTTGCTTGCCTACATAACATGTCTTGGTGGTATTTATTGTAAAAGTGTCTGGTAAAACCTTTATTTTCCTTGCCTTTCCACGCCCTTCTTCACCCTTTCTCATCCTTCTGTCCCACAGCGCCTATGAGGTGATTAAACTCAAAGGATATACATCCTGGGCCATTGGCCTCTCCGTGGCCGACCTGGCTGAGAGCATGATGAAGAATCTTAGGCGGGTGCATCCCATTTCTACCATGATTAAGGTAATGGATCTGCAGAGAGTTACTTCCTAGAGACCTATTTCTTGGCTTTGCAAAGTCTTGAGCAGACTCATGGAAGCCCCCAGTTAA